ATTGGTACCACTCATCTCAACCGCCACTACAAATCATGTGCAGCCAGACATGGACTTCTTCCAACTGGTCAAACACAATTACAATTCGGCAGTCCAGGCGTCGGTTCTACAACTTCACCCCTATCTACATGGGTGTATTCGGAGGACGAGACTCGAACTGGAATGGTGAAATTTGTTGCCGCCACTGAGTTGTCTCTGGCTATTGCAGACAACCAATACTTCGTCTTGTTCGTGAAAGAATATCTACAACCGAGGTACGTTGGGGTAAGTCGAAACATTCTTCGTGCCGATACAATAAATTATTTCAATAATTCAAAACAACAATTAATTATGGATTTGCAACAATATGGGGGTGTTATATCCTTAACTTCTGATATATGGTAAGGGGTTAATAAAAGAACATATATAGCTGCAACCGCACACTATATAGACCCACTTTGGTGTATGCATAAGAAAATTATTGCTTTTAGAATTATTGAATTTCCTCACAATGCTAATAATATATATAATGCTATTATCAGTATTGTTAGAGAATATCATTGTGAGAGTAAAATTCGATCTTTTACTTTTGATAATGCTAGCGTTAATAAGGTAGTCGTCGATAAATTGTGTAGGACACTTCAACCTGATTTTGGTGGGTATTTGTTTCATATTCGTTGTGTGTGTCATATCTTGAATTTAATTGTGCAAGATGATTTAAAACATATAAAGGATGAATTTCAAAGGATTAGGAATGCATTGGTTTATATTACGATCTCTCCTAATAGAAAACAAGCATTTAAAGATTTTTTTGCCGAATTAGGGCTGATGACTGCTAAAACATTTGTTAGCGACGTAAGTCATAGATGGAACTCTACATACTTGCTATTAAAATCATGTGAAGGTTTCGAAAATTTAATAACTGACTTTTATAATAATAGATATGTTAGAAGCGATGATGATGATATGTTAAATGAATCCGATTGGATTTTAACTTTGAAAGTTAAACGATTTTTGACATCTTTTTATGAGACCACAAAAATTTTGTCCGGCGTTTATTATCCTATAAGTTGTATGGTGCTTGAACGCCTTTATATAATTGCAAGAACATTCCATAAATATAAAAATGATCCTGCTTTTAGTGAAATTTTAATTGCTATGGAATTAAAGTTTAGAAAATATTGGGAAGAACTGCCTATGTTATTTCCTTTAGCATGCACAATGGACCCCCGATATAATATTTTGGGAACTAAATACGTAATTGATCAAATCAATAAAGTTTTAATACTTGATACACCTATCACCTATAAGAATTTAGAGCAAACATTATGTGGAATGTATGATTTATATGCGGAAAGAATGGGTGCAAATGTTAGTCGGGTACCCTCTGCTGCACCTACTCCTTCTGCTGAAATTGAAGAAGATGCTGCGAAAATAATGAATTTATTTCAAGGCATTAATACATTTAGATATGATGCAACTGCAATGTGTACATCTAGTACCATGTCATCTACATCTGCATCTCATCAAACATCGGCCGAAACTCAACATGCGATGCCTGTCGAATTAATTGATTATTTCAATCATAATATGCTAACAGACAGAACAATTAAAAAAACTTCAGAAGAAGTAATTGAATTCTGACGAAAGTATGAAAGACGTTGGCCAATTGTTTTTGCAATTGCGAAAGATCTATTGACACCTCCGGTTAGCACTGTTGCTTCGGAGTCTGCTTTTAGTGCAGGTAAAAGGGTTTTGACTGATGTTCAGGAGCCGACTGAAAGAAGATGTTTTGGAAGCGTTAATGTGTGTAAAGGATTTGCAGGACGCTCATTTTCGACTACAAGATAAATACGCTGAAATTGCATGTCATCAGGTAAGTGATATTTGATTTAATTATATTAATCAATTTTTTTTTATTTTTTAATCGTTAAATTTAATTTTCTTTAAAAAATTGTACACATTACAACAAGTTGTTCGTGTACAATTTTTAACTCCGCCTACTTAAAATTGATGTAGCCGGTCCCAAGCCCGGATAAAGGAGGAGAATTTATATTTTATTAACTTTAAAAAGAAATCAAAAATATATATTTTTTGTAAATATATTTCAAAAAATAATTCGTTTTTATTATATAAATATTTTATACTTTATAAAAGTATTACAAATTACAATATGATGTAAATAAAAAAAATAAAAACTTGTTCTTGTTAAATTATTTGTATTTTTTAACACTTTTTTTTAAAACTCTATTCTTTATTAACTTTAAAAAGAAATCAAAAAAAATATTTTTTGTAAATGTATTTCAAAAAATAATTCGTTTTTATTATATAAATATCTTATACCTTATAAAAAATATTACAAATTACAATATGATATAAATAAAAAAAATAAAAATTTGTTTTCGTTAAATTATTTGTATTTTTTAACACTTTTTATTTTTAAAACTCTATTCTTTATTTAAAAAAAAAAAAAAAAAAGTAGGCGAGCCCACGAGCCGAGCTCGCCCAATTTCAACGAGCCGAGCTCGTGGCATTAAGGGCCGAGCCGAGCCTGCCAACCCTACGCCTCGATTCGTGCTCGAATGTTGAAGAGAAAATTGAAGCAAAATGCTAGCGCTTGCTTTGCGCCAACTGCCCACCTGAGCGACGAGCTATCGATAGCTAGAAGCTTACCTGGCGCTCGAGCTACGGCATTATCAAGCTAGAATCCTATTTTCGACTTTAACGCTGATTTTCAATCCCATTACACCCGAAACCCTACCTATTATAAATATACAATCATAGATCCAACCCAAAGTGTGTTGAATTATTATTATTATACTTTAGATATCACTATTCGGTACAATCCCGCAAGTGTACGAGATCGTTGATAAGTAATACGTGATGAGTAACGTATATCATCCCACAAGGCTTGAGTGTACTAGTCTTTAATTAGATTTAAAGTGAGCAAACGAAAGTTATTTGTGGTTTTTAATTATTTAACTTAATCTAAGAAAACTTGTAGAATTCGAATTCTGTATGTGTATGAAATGTGTGTATTGGATTACGAATCAACCTATTATTATCTATTCCAATTCTCAATTACGTAACTAATTTTGTTCATATATTCTTGACAATCGATAAATCTATTTTAATTAATTTTCTTTTCCAAGACAAAATAAATCCATTCTAGTCATGACTCGAATCTATTTCTAGTCCGAATTCGAAGAAATATAACGCACTCGGGTTCACAATTATCCCAAAAATTGTACACGCGATAAATATTATTCATGACATTTGTTGCACATATGTTAATTAAGCAGCGCTCTAGCGCTCTAGGTTTATTGTGAACCTTTCAATACTACAACAGGCAACCATATATTCAATTTGTGATCAAACAATCAAATAATAAAATTAGGCATGCAAGACTATTCAAGAATTTAACTAAGTTACTTGTCTTAGATTAAAAATAAATAACAAAATATATCATCTTCATCAAATACGTAAAAAAAATTAGCGTGACATGTTATTTATATTTAATAAATCACACAAAAGATTCGGAAAAACATCACCTAGAATTGAAAACAATTATTGAAAAGTGACAAATCAATTTCTTATTCGTTAATCTTCAACTAGGACTTTGAATATTCAATCTCTAGTATTAGTTGCCATTGAATCTTGTGCTAGCCTATTTCTTGTGGTGAAAAATTTGTATGATAATGTGGTTCCTCATTCTAGCCGTCTCTTGTAGCTTAAATAGTAGGTTAAAATTGAGTTTTATACAAGTTCAAATCAAAATAGGACACTAAGCCATTTGGGCCCAAAAATGGCCTGCGCGCGAACACCGTTGTAAAACTTTTCCTTTTGCTACGTTTTGGTCCCTCAATTTCAAACTTCATTCTTTTTAACTCTTTTTGATATCTTCTTGTTTTTTCATCTTCTCATTCCATCTAGTTGACTCCACACCTTCTCCAATCATTGATATTAGGTCCAAATCAACTATTAAAATTTTGCAATTCAGTCCCCAGACTTTGGATTCAATCCCTTTTGACCAAATTTTGGCTCATTTCGTCCACTTCCACAATTTTTTATCGAGATGCACCTAACAAATGAAATATATACAAAATTAAGTCTCAATTCATTTAAAATAACAATAATTACTTGAGTTTAACGATCGAGATAAGTGTACAAGATACACTTATCATTCATATTTTTGAAGATCCAAAACATATTCTAAAGATCTCTTGATTAAACCTATGATTATTGATTTATAAATTCATCCCAAACACATTATATTATTGGTAAATGCTTGTTATAAGTCAAGAGATTATCATTAGAAATTCAAGTACATATTTCAATATCTCTTGCATCAATCTACAAATCAATACATATAAGATCCTTTGATCAAACACCAAAACAAAATTCTACCTTCGTCAATTAGCTTTCAGATTTCTAAGGTTTTGAAAAGAGATGCTTAGAGCTCTCGTGCTCAGAGATGATATTCGCTCTTGTTGATCCAAGCAGAGAGAAAAGTAGCTCAAACTTCTGAAAAGTGTGAGCATGGACAGCCAAAAAAATTCTTTGGTAATTTACAAGTTAGACGACCAAAGTCGGCTAAAGTTTAGCGATGTCTGAATTATTTATAAGTTTAACTTTTTAGTAGATTTAATTGGTTTTAGTAGATCTAATTGGTTTAATTTCGCATTGGATCTAAACAATGATAATTTCCAACAGGTGGCATTAACGCAATACATAGGAAAAACTCTCAAAATGCTTCCATTTTTTCCATCGTTTTCCTATTTACTTTTATTATTATTATTATTTAAATAGAATTAAATAAGAGTCAAGGAGGGTTCTGGACGAAGAACCATGTTCCCATAACATCTGGTAGGGCAAGAGTTGTTCAACCCGTGAACCAAAACTTTTAAATACTTTATTTAACCAAAATAATTAGTAACTATAGTTCGCCACTGAAAATTCATTCAACAAACAGTGAAATAACTGTATTTTATTTCTTGAGAAATCAAATTACGACTAACATCTTAGGAAAAAGACATATATAAAAAGTCTGACATCAATGTTGACATGAAATTTGACATAATCCCACTTGACACTCTATCATTGGTCAACTTTTTCGTCCAATTATTTATTGTCACATAAATTATGTAAAGCTTTTTATCAAATTATTCTAACAAAGTAGTTTTATTCAAATATAAAAAGAAGAGAGAGAGAGAGACAGAACGAACCAAACATATAACAAGAAAAAAGAAAAGAAAGAAAACATCCGCTCATAAGATCTGGAAATCCCACATGAAATTCTTGCATCTTTAATGGATCCCACTGCACAAAAAAATGCAGAATTCATCTCCATTTAGCCCTCCAATCAATCCCAATGAAACAATAACAAATGCATGCAAATTGTTTCAATCTCTTCATGGAACCAAATCTGAAAGGCCAACCTGTCAATTCATACTGAAGTATTAGTCGTCATTCCGTACATTATGTAAAGAGCACTCGACTGATTTACGTACCGTTGATCAAACTCTCATTAATCCTACATTGGATGATCTCATAGTTATGTCGTTGACAGTTTCTGCATGATCTGCAGATAGATTCAAGAAAAAATATAATTATTTGGGTATAAAGATTTTAAGTTCTTGATTACATGGTAAATTCAAGGTTTATGCTTACTTTTTGGAGTTCTGAAAATGAAAAAGCAAACTCCCATAACCAGGTAGCATAGCAGAAGAACTAGTCCTTTTAGGTAATGAGATGTTCCGTCCTGAAAGATTCACGCACTCGTTAATTTCGTTACTGTGTTTATATAAGATCTGCGCATGTGTTAATATTTTTACCTGTAAACAGAATGTTGTGATGATAATTGATAGAGCAAGACAACTTGTTTCGAGGATATTGAAGTCGAGATTCATGTCGATACCCATCATCCACGCCATAATTACGCTTAAGGGAATCTGATTATTTCAGAAAATTATTAGTAATCATCAGCAAGCAAATCATTGTACCTCAAGAATGCAATTTATGATTAAGATATATACTTACCACAAATATGGCAATTTGAGTTGCTGACCCCATTGCTACGCCTAAAGTAATATCCTGTTCGAAAAATTCTCTTAGACTTTGCAGATAGAAAAAAAGAAAGAGACGAAAAGAAAAGAATGACGGGGTTTTTTTTTGCACTACGTCTAGAACTATTGAATATCAATTAGAATCGTCTTCAAATTGTTTGTTTGAAAAACAAAAGAAACCGTCGTCTATGACTTACCAGCTTGTTCTTAAAGGCAAATATGATAGCCCCAGCATGTTCTGCTGCATTTCCCACAATTGGTAATAAAATTACACTGATGAAACTGACTGATAATCCCCAAGAGTTTGATGCATCCTGTTGCAAGAAATGCCAAAATACAAAATTATTTAGTTCCTAATAAACTTTCATATTCTTTTTGAACAATCCCACCTCTAGTAATTAATATTGAAATTTACCTCAATTGTTCCCACAACATATTCTGAGAGTAACGCTATTACACCGGTCATCAAAACCAGCCAAATAAATGCACTCCAGAATCCAATAATAGCTGATTCATTCGATACCAAATCACTATCTTCTTTTTCATCCTGATAATTTTCACAGAGATAAATTCATTCAACGATACTGCACAGAAAAATAAAGATGTTTGTACAAGGTAAATTGCCGGTGCTGATGTGGTGGGTTTCGATTGGCTATTTTAAATATATTTTTGTGCAAAATCCAATAAAAATCTATCACTTTTCATTTTCGCAATTTCCCTGACGTTTTCTGTGAGAAAAAATTATGGCAATAGAGAAGAAGAATAAAACACCAAGAAGGGAAGAATACAAATTTATCAACGAAGGCTTGAACACGAAATAAATCTCGCTGTTAGAGGTGGGCGCGGGTCGATTCAGTTCCGTTCTAAAGAGAACCGAACCAAATCAAAATTTTCGGGTATCTAGTAAATGGAACCGTCGGGTCCAAATATAATTATGGAACCGTTCGAATTCGGTTCGGTTCTGTACTATAATTAAATTTTTTTACATTTATAAAAACATTATATAAAAATACAACTAATGACACATTCAATGATTTTCGTACGTTAGAGACTAGTAAACTACCTTATTCAAATGATCGTTACGGTAAAAGCTTTGATCAACGAAGGTCATAGTTTCGATCGGAGGTCACAGAGTAGATCGACGATTGTATAGGTTTGGAATGTCAGCGAGGTTACGAGAGTAAGTGCGAGAATCGAGACAGCATTATATACTTTAATGTTTGGTGTTTAGGGTTATTTAGCGGATTGGATCTTGTTAGGCTCAAAAATAAAACAATAAAATGGGTAATTGAGCCAAATATTAAAAAATTAGAAATGAAACAAATTATTGGGCCAAAAATTTGGATTTAGAAATTTTTAATTTGTTAATTTTTTTAGAAAAAATTAAAATTAAAATAATTTGATTTATTCAATAAAAAAAAAATTAGAAAGATTCGGTTCTTATTCGGTTCTTCGTCTAGAATCGAGAATCGAACCGTATCCATCGATTCTCAATTCAGATACCCGTTCGGGTATTTATTTGACAAGAGTCGTCGGGTTCGGTTCAGTTCGGATCGGGAGATTTGCCCAGCCCTACTCGCTGTCGTCAAACGTTATTTACCTCATTTCCAATGCTTTTTAAGGATTTCTAGCAAATAATTCGTAGGATTAAACAAGCTTTAATGTGAAGAAAACCAAAAGCAGAAATATACCTTGACTACGAACAAGTGAAAAGAATTGGAATGATTTTGTGATAATTTTCTCTCAATATTTGGAAGAATAATTTGGGAATAAATTTCAAGGCAATTCAAATATTTTCTTTGCACCAGGATCACCTATTTATAGGCATTGGCAAGCTCTCAAGAAGTGCTGCCTAAATTGGGTTGAAAAGCCACCAATTTTAAACAAAAAGGGGCCAAAAAGGGCTCATAACGGTCACAATTTGTAACCATGCGGTCGCACGGCTATAGCACATGCCCCCCCCCCCCTCAATCTTGGGAGGCCCCTATGCAACCGCATGGATTAACGATTGCTTAGTTAAGCCCCTTTTCCACATTTTTTTTTATTTTTCCTTCTCATCCATCTTCGAGATCTTGAAAAACTAAAATTCTAACATTTTCCCCTATACATATAGCATCTTTCCTACACAAAAACAAGTAAACGCTTCTATAAGTACATTCTACATGGCCTAGAGAATACCTCAGAAGCTTCAAATAGTTGTCGATGAGTCCATAACTGGAAAACGAGGTAAGAAATGTACGCAATCAGCATCACAATACAAGTGGCTCTTGACAAAGCAAGAGTTTCAGTCCCAGTTAGTTTTAGTTCCGTGGCAGTTCCAGCATATCGAAACATCAAGGTCAAAACATGGCAAAGCAATCCCAGCAACAAAAGGAGGGCGTTCACATCCACTTGTTTCTGTTACAATTCAAAAACCCTCTAAATATTAGATAATTATTCGAAGAATTGTATTTCCGAACAAAAAATTTGCTCGATTAATGGAAGCAAAACGTCTTACTCTATCGAAGTTTTGTTCTTTTTTAAGATTTGCAATGCCACCACAGAATAGAGAGGATCCAAGAACCAAGAGGAGGTTCGAAAGTATAGAACCAAGTAGACTGTATTTCACAACATCTACTTTGTGCTGGACTAGAGCAAAAATGGATATTATGAGCTCTGTTGCATTTCCACATGTTGCATTTAGAAGCCCTCCAACTGCCAAAAGAAATCCGCAACAAGAAACTGAATCAAGCAAAGGTTTTGGTACATTATTTTTATCACTACATTCTGTTTATTGCTAACAAGTTGAGTTGTCTCTATCAACACTTTGGAAAGAATTTGAACGCTATAAAATATAAGGTAATGGATTGATTACCTGTTGGACCTGTGGAGAAAGCGATTTGCCTACATAAATTATTAAGAATCAAAATGTTAGATTCTGGTTAATTATTTATTGAAGAAAATGGAAAAACTAATTATAAAATTCTTACTCTGTTAAAAAGCTGACACGTTCAGCAAGCGGAGTGAGTCCAAGTAAACTCAACGCAAACACCCATGGCTGTTCCCAGAAAAAAAATTTAAATAAAATGAAACTCAACGGTGACTGACTGAGGAATAATTATAATTAATACAACAATTTTTTTTTAATATGTACCATTTTGGCAATAAATTAGTCTTTTTACTGCATTAAAGATGCTTAAATTTGTAGGTGGGATGTCATAATCCAGAAGCTGATACTTCCTTTTTCATTAAAGTGTAACCTAATTTTAACATCCACATCCGTGAGAGAAAAGTTGTATTTGTTAAATTTAAAATAATACGGCAATTATTTATTGGGTGGACAACAAATTTTGGACAGCAAATCTCTCTCAAGCATGCCAGCGTGATTTAATTAATTATCCAAAATGTGTAATAATTTCTTTCTCCAAGAAATTCAAAACGAGTGATTAATTTTCACTCAATTATATGAAATGAAAACCGTAAAGATGAAATCTACCCAAACAAGAAAAGTATTACAATGAACACTAGGTAAAAAAGACAAGAGACAACATAGTAATTAAAAAAAAAATAAAAAAGAGTAAAGAAAAAATACTCACTCTTCCGAAATTTTTACACTCAGCAGCGATGGCAAAAGGAATTGCCAGAAACAAAATCCATAGCTTTGTTCCCAACAAAACTTCTTGCAAATTAACCAGAAAATTTC